AGGCACGTCCCGAGTTCTCGTCACACCGCCGACAAAACCCAAGTGAGTATTCTCGTGCACGCACAGTATCTTCAACCTCTGGTGTCTTCATCTTTTTTCTCTTTCTTCTTCTTCTTCTTCCTCCTCTCCTTCTCCTTCTCCTTCTTCTTCTTCTTCTTCTTCGTCGTTCTCCTACTCGATGAACTCGTTCGCGCGCGCCTCAATTTTTCCCTTGCACACGGGACCCCCCCATTCCGCGTCTTTCTCTCCTCCTTCCGTTCCCGTCCTTCTTTCTTCCGCTCGTTCCACTCTCAACGAACGACCAATAACCACGGGATCCCGATCTTCCGCAAGCTTTTCTCCTTTTTTTTTCTTTTTGTCCCCATCCACAATTTTTTTCCTCCTCGATGCGCTCTCGATTCTATTCCGCGTTATAGTAGCGTGCCACGAATAAATCGAATCGAAACGAATGGACGGAACCCGAGGAGCGACTACGACGACGATCGATCGAAGAGCAAGAGTGACGACAGAGTGACGTGAGGAGCATGACGCGAATAGAGCCGCGGAACGTGAGAGGGAACGTGTGTGCGTATCGTGTGTGCATCGCGAGACAAAGTTGTACGGTTATACATGGTCGCCGAGAAGACAGCGTCCTCGCGCAGCCAGCTCGAAAAACTTTGTTCCGAGTGCGTGTATATTCCAACTCCGCACCAGGGGGACGAGGGAACGCGCGTACGACGCTGGCTCGCGCGCGAGTGGGTCGTGCTAGTCTCGCGTCACGGTGCACGGTACGCGTACGAGTGAACCGAGAAGAGAATGCATCGCGTGTGCGTGTCCCGCTCGCGCTACGTCGGACTACGTCGATTCTTTCTCGCGTGTGTCCCGTCTATGCGCGCTTCTACGATGGCGCACGATCGTGCAACATCAGAGATCGAACAGACGTTCCCGCAACGTTCTCGCAACGAAGGCCAGAAGAGGAGCGGTGATCCAACCGGGAGGAATTCCTCGATTACGATCGAAATTCAGCTACGCGTCGGTTACGTGTCTCGTCGCGGCTACCGTGTCTTCCAAAGTGCTATACAGACACCGCTGTGTATTTATAAATCGCTGTGTGCGCCCGTATGTACGCGCGCATGCATGGAGGAGTGGCGCGCTCGCCGTCCTTGGTTAGTCGGTAATAATTTCCGGATGAATTTGAATGGCACACTGCGCGCGCCTTCTCTACCCCCACCACTTCTTCTTCTCTCTCCCACCATCTCCCGACGCCCCTCCACGGTCTCACGCTATCTCGATCTCGCTCCGTGCT